CATCGGACCTGGTTACCTCCGAGACCGCCTTCTGCCTCAGATTTCCTCCCATAGACCGGTACGCTCCCACAGAGTGGGTCTCCTCAGGGTGCCGTCGGCCAAACAGTGTCGGCTGGCGACCCCCAGGGGGAGGGCCTTCTCTGTGGGTGCCCCCACCCTCTGGAACGAACTACCCCCCGAGATCCGGATGATTCCGGATGTCCTTACTTTCCGCCGCGCCCTCAAGACATGGCTTTTCCAGCAAGCGGGCCTGACCTAAGGAGGATTTTATTTAGGGACGATTTTAAGTATAATTTTAATTGGAACACAGCTTCGAATATTTGGTTTTAATTTGGTTTTAGAGGGGTTCTTATTTTTATTGATATGTGTATCTGTTTTAATATGCTGTGCACCGCCCTGAGTCCTGCGGGAGAAGGGCGGTATAGAAATTAAAATAATAAATAATAAATAAATAAATTTCCAATAAGCCAACAATTTTCGGAGGTAAAAAGGGATGACTTACAACGCAGAAATGCTTCCTTACTTCAAGCCCCAGATCTGACTATGGCAGCTGACAGAATTGGCTGCTGAAGAACAACCCTCTATGGCACATGGACAATTAGCACCCAGAGTTTGTCTTAGGCTGATATCCACCACCTAACCATGCTGCAGGTTATGAAGACATTAGGTCAGACGAAAAAGAGGTTAGAACAGGGATGTCAAACTGCCGGCCCGTGGGGCCGGATGCGTCATGCCGAAACTGCGCCGACCCCATTGCCGGCAATGGAAAAAAACTTGAGAATACGTCGCGACACGTCACGTGACCTTGCGAGTTTGACACCCCTGGAGTAGAAGGAAGGCCCAGAAGACAAAAAATCCAGAGTACATTTATCAGTCTGGCATCAGTTGAAATAATTTTACATAGGCATAAAAACTTACCTTAATTCAGGATATACATTTTCAAGGTACCACTTGAATGGTTTGCAGCTAAGTTTCTTTCTCAACTCCATTCGGCTTTGAATACTGTCGAGAGAAAAAGCTTTTCATTGCATCTAAAAACTATGCCAATCCAAAAGCTATTTTTATGGACAACCTATTATTTAAATAAGAAGCTGGAAGCTTAGTATGCTCTGTAACGTTTAGGCCTCCATTCCCATCATTCCAGCTGCCCTAGCCACTAGCAAGCAGAAGTCCTAAAACGGGCAATACCATCTTGCCTTCTTCTGATTTTAGCCAAAGATTAAAATTAAGGTTTGGTGCTTATTTTAATGCCATTTATTTCGACCCTGCCACTTCCAGACAATAGGCTCAAATGGCTGAAAGAAATGACTGGACTTACTTGCCATAAGGTACATTTCTGGCAGAAGGCACTGCTGCATAATAGAAATTTTTGTATTCATCCATCCAGACTTCTGCTGCTCTGCGTGTATTTCTGGAAATAATTTAAGGCACAGTATTAATTTTGTTCCCTGGTATTTGTTTACTCCTTTGGATAGTGAAAAGCCTTCCACTTTTAAGGAAACCGCTATGCAGAATAAATTAGCTCTCAAAAAACACAATTTGTTGGCTTTGTATTCTTTAGCTCCTTTGTTCAGGGTTTGTCTTTGTGGAAGGAAAATGGCATGAAGGATCATTAATTCCTCATCACTGTAATCCCTACACTTAGACTAAAGAGTACATCTCGCACTCTTCCGTACTCCAAAGCCCTGGCTAAATAGAAGTAATACTCATTTATCTTGTACAGAGACACAGACTCATTTTTAAATCACAGTTACACATCTGTGCTCTCAGGACAGCTCACACGAAAAAACAGATTATGTAGTCTTTTTCTAGATATTTCATCATGTTACTCCAAAACTACTGGAAGAAGTGAGATTAGAAGGGATGCAGTATTCCACTTTCCCTGATGTGGTTCTACCTTTTAAAGCATGTCAAGCACATTTCTGGCTATTCAGAAGAGTTCTGAAATCTTCTGCTCAATCTTCAATTCCCTTCGTTCAAACCTACCACTTAGCAAGCGCCAAATCCTAAGGCTTCTCTCAACAAGATGCTTCCCAGATTTGTGAAAGTCAGCTCCCAGATTTTACTAGCCAAGTGCCATTCTTATTAAGCAATTTGGTAGAGAGGCTAATATCTGATAATTGAGGTAGATCTATACAAAACTTGAATATACGTTGGACACACACTGATTCTTTTTCTGTTTTTAACAAAAATAATAATGAAAGAAACCTGCTGGATTACCAAGGAATATATTAACACATGGATAGTATACAATAAATGTATCTGGAAACAGTTTCCAAACTAAAAATATACTATATATTATATAGTATGAATAATTATAACAAAGGATTTGCTATAGTCTAGGTCAGGGGCCGGCACATGGGCCGGATGCATCATGCCGAAACCACACCCACCCCAGCAATGGGAAAAAAGTCGCGATATGTCGCGACACGTCACGTGACGAGTTTGACACCCCCAATCTAGGTCATTACATTGTTCTGACAGTTTATTTCCAATTTTAATGATAATGTTGAAGTTTTAAAATAAACTAATCCAAAATTACATGCAAGCTTTTGCTGTCCGATAAGCAAAAAAACCCCAAAAACCATTATACATTTCTGCCGACTGGTATTGTTTTGGTTTTGGTCTTGTTTTCATTGTTTGGTGAAGGACCCCATCTCCTGATTATATGTGCTAACAACCATTGATTGTGACATTCTTCTTGGCTGCTGTGCATGTTAATTTTTGTATTTATGATGGAAATTTGTTTTTAATTTATTTTAAGACTGTTCGCTATCCAGGGTCACTTGTTGATATGGGCGGCCATATACAATGAATGAATGAATGAATGAATGAATGTTATTGACTCTTAAATTTACCTTGCAAAAACAGTTCCACTTCCTCCTGGAAAGGTATAAGGATGTTGCTTGCGGAAGACGTGACCAACTCGGCTGCATGGGACGATTTCAAGACTCCCACCGCATTGCCACACACGGAATGAAATCTCTGCATTCAGAAAGCAACCAATATACGGAATAGGTTTTTTTTTTCTTTTTTCCCCATCTTGCTATGCATCCTTCTTTTCCATCTAACAAGAATACATATTTTTTAAAAAACTGAAAAATCCTCTGCTTTTAAGCGAGACAAAGGGATAGAGAATCATGTTCACCTTTTATTGAGAAATTAAGTTTATGTAACTATGAAATTATTATGTTTCTCTATCCAAAATGGGCCACTTTTTGTGTTTGCAGTTCAAATAAGTAAAAGGTGGCTTAGAATCCAATGTTTAGCAGATAACCACAATAATATGGACATCATACAATTACTTGGCTTTTATGTGAACACCTAAGTGTCAGAATGAGCAAATGAAATTGAGATTTATAATTTAATATAAAACCACAAATGCTCTTAAAGTATCAATTTCTAAACTAATAAAACCAAATTAGTTTAATTTGTTTAAAGAAAATACCCAGATGATGACTATTCCTATGAACTACATGCCCTACTTTTAAGTATTTAAAATGCATGGAATATCTTCACAACCTTGTTAAATGGAACACTTCAACAAGTATTTTTAATTAGCACAAAATGCATTTCAAGTAATATATGACTTTTAAAAAGATAAAGATCCTGTGCCTGCTTTCTTTAAACATTACGCTGACTTTCTACTTCATACTTTTTTTTTTTATAGAAAAGTCTAATTCTACAATGGAGCCCTGTTGTGGCTGAATATTTGCCAATAACCTACTTAAAAGTATTAACTGCTGCTTTAATCCTTTCCAGGCAGAGATCTAAAGAAATGAACTGCCAAAAATGAGGCTAAGATTTCATTTCAAAAACAATGCTGTAAGTAAAAAAATCATACCTAGATTTTCTCCACCCCATACATCCATCATCATATCATACTTTCCCAATTCTTCAAAATAAAGTTTGTCCATCACAAAGAGTCCACCAGCTATCATTGGTGTTCTAAAAAGAAGGAAGAGGTAAAGAGCAGATAAATTATTATATACTCACACATTACATTTTAAGGTTCCAAATGAGTATTTTCTGTCCATATTTAAAAACTATTCAATTCCTTTTTAGCCATCTATAATCATTGCTGCAATGGAAAACTCTATCACTCACTCATGAACTCAAGATTTATATATGGTCAACTAGGTCTTAATTCCTTAGATGTGTAATTGGTTACAGGAAATTTCTGAAATGCTATACAAAATAATAATATCAAGCCATAGTTATTCTGCACAATATAAGTTGGTTCTCAAATAATGCTATCTTTGAATTATTTTACTAGCATTTTCAATGATAGGTTCTCCCAATGATCACTGTCCAACTTAAATAGATATTCTGTTACCCTGTAAGAGTCATGCTTTCAAGTCATCTTGCAGAATTATAAAATTCACTGCAAGTGGTAGCAGTGTTATTATGCATAACAGAATTTTGTAGCAGTACCAATTTTGAAACTTGCATGGAAGAGAAATGATTCTTTTAATAATAGTGGATAAATTAAAATTTTAGTCTATCTAGTTTGAGTATTACTAGTAATAATCAAAGTATGGACACAAGAAAAAAATATATGTTTTTATCTCTTGTTACACCTTCTTGGTACCAGCACATTAATATGAGATCAAGTAATTCTCTATCTGCTAATTTGGCCACCATGTTAATTGGAGAGCTTTGCATCATTTGTTCCACTTTCCAGGTGTGGTTGCACAACAAGGAAGTAAGCTAATAAATCAAGGCTCATGCAGAATAGATTTAAATTCCACACATGCTGTTAAACATTATCATTTATACAACTGAATGTATACTTTGTGCAGGCAGTGTTTCGCTATGTATTATTTGCAGTAATAGTTTCATATAATAATGCACTGTTAATGACTGTCAAAGCAATACATTTGTTGTAAGGTATGAAAATGGCAGAAAACAGTAATGTTTGTCTTCAAGTATGAGTCTGCAGTTTGTTGAAACACCACTTGTATTTGGCAATACTAGATTTGTGTTTTATTGAGGTATCAATTAATTCAACAGGAGCCTGCCAAGTCTAACTTCGGAGATGGTAACTCAAAGTCGCGCTTACTAAGAACAACAATATTGTTTTATGAGGGGAAGGGTGTTGGCAGGAACATACTTTATGGGAGCAACTGGATTTCCTTGCCGTGCTCTTCTTTGCTCAGGGGTCATGTAATCCCACTTGAATACCAAATTCCAATCAAAGCCTAAGAGATTACAGGAAGAAACAGAAAGGAAAAAAGGCAAAGTCATAATGTATATCCTGGATATTAATAAATGTTCCCTTTAACTTTTGCCTAGATATATGGTCTTTTGAGTTATAGATTATAGACATGAAGCTATTCAGATATGGTTTTGGTAAAATTCAGCTGGACGTAACGCTAGCTTCATTTTACCTGATTTTTCCTCCGTTATATGACACTTTCAGAAATAGATGTTAGAGAAGTTAAGATGACATTAATAAAATCCTAAGACAAATTTGAGTGCTTTTTAAGTAGAAAAGTGAGATTTATTAAACATTAGAATAAATAATGTTCACTTTATATATAAAAAAAACCTTTTATTTCCTAATTTCCATCCTCTTTTATGAGATTACCACAAAAAATATTCTTCACATTGACAACTTAATTCGGATTACAAGAAACCCTGTCAGATTCCCCAGTTTTGAAATGTCAATGGGCAATCTGAATATTTTTCCCTTTCCATTTTTTCTGTATTTTGCTATACTTTAAAACTGTTTTGACTTATTTTGTGCTTGGAGGAAATCACCAAAGAAATCTGTGTGTAAGCAGCAGGTATCTGCTGATCTGGATCAGGAGATGGCATTGAAGTCAGAAGCTCGAATCTGTGTTTCTTGTCCTTCCTGCCAAGTCTTCTATCTCCAGCTGTTATTTCCAAAATTGTTATTTTAGCTTCTCCACTCCACTCCCACAGTGGATACCATCTGACTACACTTGAAGCAATGGCAATCCACTGACACCTCCTCAAGCTCCATGGGAACCATCTGTTGCTTAAAGTCCTCTTCTCCAAGAACTGTCTTTGGCAGAAGCCATTTTCCAGCTATCATACAACATCAGAATATAGCAATGGGGTGGTGGGGGGGGGAAGATGCCTTGATTGGACAGCCTCCTGCTAACTATCCTCCTGCTCATATTGCTGCTACTACTCAGCCTGTTACTACAATAGCTTTCCTCTCTGTTAATTTATCAGAAGGTAAGCTTCCGAGTCCTCCCGTAAAAGGTAGTTTAAAACTATCTTCCATTTTAATCATGCTAAGCATCTTGCAGCATGTAATTTCCCAAAGATGTCACAAGTGCTATGTTTGTATACAATATTTCAAAAGCCGTTTAGTTGCATTCTTAGCATTTTAGGCACATATGACTAACAGTACTTTTCCATGCTAATAGAGTACCATACTAAAAAAAAGATCTAACTTCCACCCTTGGAAATTATAGCTGTTTCACTTGAAAAACATGCGTCATTTTAATCCTACACTGTGGTGGGTAATAGGGCAGCATGCTGAGATTACCAAGTCTTCATTTATAGCAGAAAAATTATATTTCCCTGTATTTCACTTTATAAAATACCATTGATATAAGAATGAAGTTAAAAGCAATCATGAGTGCAAAACCTCAACATGTATATACACTGCAGTAAACGTTAGGGGGCTCTTTTGGAACATGAATAGAGCACAGGAAAAGCCCAGGTGTCAGTGGTATTAAAGAAATACTACTGACACTAATACATAACATGAATGTATCAACTCAGTTTCATTAGAGGATCATAGTGGACCGGCACTGAGATAACCTGTATGATTACAGGACCACACAGATGTCATCTTTTTATTTTTTCATTCTGCAATCAAATCAAACCACCTATACTCCAATGTCTCCTTTTTCAACCCTTTTCACAACTACATTTGATCCCAAATTGCATAATTACTTAGTGTATAATTATGCTGAGAATGACAAAATGCAAGCAGCACTTTTACATTCAAGAGATTCTACCTATTATAGCACACCAAAATAGACTGCTATGATCATCAAATATCCAGAGCAACAAACACTCACAATGGGTGCCATACACAGTATTTCAAGGTGTAACAGAGTACTCAGGAGAGGCGATTGATGTCAAGAATACAAATGTGTTCTTAATCTTAGCTACAACAGATTTTGACAGCAATGCCTCTGACTGTTATTAGCACTCCAGATTTCCCTCTTTGCTTTTACCTTTGAATTCAAGAAAATTCAAGTCTAGGCTTTCCTAATTCCTTTTTACAAAAGAAATCCCTCACACAAAGGACAAATACGAAAACCTGAAATCAAGAATCAGTGCTCAGTGTTCTTCCTTATCTTCTTTTAAATCCTCAGTACTATAACATTGGCTACTTCACCATTGCTAAAATACTAATTATGCAATTAATTCCCTGCAGAGAGCTAAAGAGAAAGTATATTTGTTTAGTACTTCGCATTATTCCATGATTTTAGCAAAGCACATTTATAAAGGTACATTACATGCAGACATAAACACAGTTTTTTTCCTCACATTAGATGGGATGCAGAATCGTATCATTTAAATTGTCAGGGAACCAGCTATATATCTACATAGCACCAGAACAGATGTCAATAGAACAGAGAGATAAATGGCAAAGAATGCATCAAAATATATATTTAAAAAAATTCAATTTCTGTACTTGCATCAAATGTTGAGACACAAGTAAGGTGGAATTTGCATCATTTCATTTCATTTCATTTTATTATATTTATACCCCGCCCTTCTCCTGTAGGACTCAGGGCGGCTTACAGCCAGTTAAAAACAGTTTAATACAATACAATACAAAGTTTTAAAAAATCATTAAAAATAAATATTTAAATCGGCCGTTTCTACTAAAATTTGGCTAAAACCAATTTAAAATACCCCTAGGCCAGTCCTGCCCGCTGAAACAACCAGGTCTTAAGGGCGTGGCGGAAGGAGGGGAGATCCGGAATCACCCGGATCTCTGGGGGCAGCTCGTTCCAGAGGGTGGGTGCTCCGACAGAGAAGGCCCTTGCCCTGGGGGTCGCCAGCCGACACTGTCTGGCTGACGGCACCCTGATGAGGGCCTCTCTGTGGGAGCGTATCGGCCGGTGGGAGGCAATCTGTGGCAGAAGGCGGTCTCGGAT